GACTGCTCCACCCCAAGAACAGTCTCTGAACCACGGCAGGTGCTGAATGAATGAATTTACGAAGTCACTCCTCTGGCAACCATTCTCTTCGTTTTTGCATAGAAGAACTGGGGTGCAGGCTAGAGATGCAGGGGGTGAGTGGATTCCCCAGAGACAGAGTGGGGAGCAGAACAAGCAGATCCACCGAAATCCACTGCCAAGGGGCCCGGGGACGGTCAGGAGAGGTCTGCTGCGCCCTGCAGGTCCCTCCCTGGCGGGGATCGAGCGCAGGCCGAGACTCGCCCCTTGGGCGCCGGGGGGCCCCTGCCCAGTGTAGAAGCAAACCCTCCCGGCAGCCTGGCCTCCTTGCTGCTCCAAGGGGCTCCAGCTCAAGCACCCCAGGGGCAGGCAGGAGGGCCTGTGGGCCACAAAGGGGTCGGGTGTCTGAGGGTGCCTGGTGGCTTGGGGAGCCACCACCTCCATTTTTCAAGAGGTGAGAAAACTGAGTCTCGATGTCCCTGCAGCACCTCACGGAGCCTCGGCCTCCCCTGTCGCCCTGGGCGGGGCCGGCGGGCTGGGGCCCCTCCAGGGCGCACTGCTCGAGTGCCCGCCACAGGCAGGCTGGAGGCCCAGGGCAGCTAACTGGACGGACGGGCGTGGGCAGCCTGGGCTCTCCCTGGGCCTTGGAGCCCTCACTGAAGTGCCAGCGGTCACGACCGGGCCTAGAGGTCACTGGGCTTCTCCTTCTCTCTGGGCCCTGACCATCGAGTTTTTCTTTTTTAAGAAGATTTATTTATTTATGCATATAGGAGCTGGGGTGCAGGCCAGAGAGGGGGCGTGTGGGGGAGGAGAATGCACCAGGACAGAGTGGGGAGCAGAACAGGCAGATGGACTGAAACACTGCTGAGGGGGCAGCGGGGACAGGAGGGGTCTGCTGCGGCCAGGGTCACTCCGAGGCGTCCTGGGGTCACTCCCAGGTGGGGATGGACTCGTGCTGCAGGGGCTGCAGACAGCTTCACAGTGCTGAGGGTTAACCCCCTGCGCCCCCAGGGGCACCCCCCCAGGCTGACTCCCGCTCCGGCCTCTGCTTCTCGGCCTGCCCCATCTCCTCCCGGCCGGGCAGCAGGCAGGCCACACGGAGACCCGCAGCCGAACACGACGAACACCGAGTGACCCAAGCCTAGAGAAAAACCGTTTGCGAACATGCACAGATGTGAACGTGCTTAAGTGCATGTTTTAAGAAATGACTGTAACGAAGGACATACACTACAAGCGGGAATAGGGATATAGTTTTGCCCGTGGCTAAAATTCGAAACTGTTAACTCGGGGCCCGCATGACACTGCACTTGGGGGCACGTAACGCTTCGGTGTCCACAGGGGACCCCGGGGCTGTCCGGTTACCACACGCTGCTCCCCGGTTTAGCCTACAGGTAAACTCTATGTGGGCGGCACAGAGCAGTCTCCTACAGAGAGCTGTCTTCCAGGCAGGGGCGTGCCTCGGTGTGGAGTACTACACAGGAGTGAAAACGGAGGGGACAGTCCTTGAGCAGGCACCGGGCATCTGGGAAAACGCCAAAGCAGAAAGTGGACAAGGCAGTGGGAGGGTGGGTATGCATCTGACTGGCTTGGACCAGTTGTAAGTAGGAGGAAAAGGTGGGAGGGCCTCCCCAGTGTCCCCCTCTGCTGGAATCCTGGGGTGTAACCTAGTATAGTGGGGATAAAATGCAATGTCGAAAAAGAAGCAGCTTTCCTGCAGCGCGAGGAGGGTACCACGGCCACACTGAGGGGAGCAGCTCCTGACCCTGGGGCCACCTCCTTGGGCCTAGGGCTCTGCA